CCGAGCCTCTCTGCCGGTCCCAATTCCCCCACGTCCCGAGCCACAGTGAAGATCTCTGCCCCCCCCAATTTTTCCCCATCCTCTGGATCAGCAGCAAATCTGCCTTTGGCAACAGAGCCCAGGTATGCCAGAAGGGCCATAAGAGATGTCCCCATGTCTCTCCTCCCCGCTAGCGGAGCGGGACAGTGGCCCTGCAGGTGTGCTGGGAAAGGAAAACACCCTGCAGGAGCTGAAGCTCCAGGTTTGGAAGGACAGAACTGAATTGGGATTTGGATCAGATATCTCCATTTCAGGGCCTAGTCCTACCCAGCAGAATATCTATTCTTTTTCCAAGCAGTCTAGGATTACGAGGTCAATGCTGCCCACAGACGTGCCACAGGGCTGCCAGGACAGGTGGATTTGAAGTGAGTTTTTTCATAAGGGCAGATCTTCATTTTCTCTCTTTTTTTTTTTTTTTTGTAAACCCCCTCTTTCCCCTTACACAACAATACCAGTTTTAAGTTGCTTAAATGAGCAGCGTTGCTCAACCTGCTCCAACCCCCCCATGAGGCCAACTGCACCATTTGCCATTTCACAGCCTGCACTTTTCCAACCAGAAAGCGGTGCTTTGCTAGCACACGCTCACTAGTCTCCCATATGGATGGCCAGCCTGCCAGTCTTCCTACATTTTTAAGCCAAATTCAGACGATAAAAGCAAGAAGAAACCTAGCGATGAGCTCCAGAGCCTGAGGATCGCAGCACGGATCACTGAGGGTGCCTGGTTCAACAGGGGGATTGGAAGAGAGGTGAGAGATCAGGTTTAAGTAAAAAGAAGAAAAAACAAGTAGTGCTGGCTACTGGTTAAACTACAGCACCGCAGCAGAGTGACACAAGGAAAGAGCTGCTGCAAATGGAGAGCTCTGCGTGTCTGGAACCCACCAAGGGCAGCAGGCTGTGAAAAGCGGCTGCTTGCTCGTGCGTGAGCCCACTGTCTTGGGAAGGGGCACAGGACACTAATGACACCCGAGGGCGAGAGGCCAAGGCAGCTCCAGGCTGACTTCTCCTCGTGAGATGGGAGCACGGCCCTTCTGCAGACCCAGGGTGAAGGTCAAAAGCAGGACCTGGAAATTGCTGCTCGCAAAACAAACCCAAAAGGGATCGCTACACCCGAGAGGGGAGGTCCTGAGCACAGAGGGGACACCAGCCCAGCATCACCCGGGCTCTTGCTCCTTGCTTTTCTTACCAGAACTGCAAGCCAGCTACTGGGAGTCACTAGAGACAGATGATGTCCACACTGGTGTGGCAGAGAGCCTGTCCCTGCTGGGACACGTTTTGTCCGGAGCAGACCCAGGGTGCAAGTCAGCTCAGCTGTGAGACCTCACCTGGGACAAGCTGGCTCCTGCCACACCAGGACTGATCCAGGACAACCGCCTGTCTGTTTGCGATGCACAAAAGCAGCTCTCTTCCAGCTAGCGCAGAGGTTCATCGTCTTCTTAAAACCTCGTTCTTACAAAAGGCCTGATCCCGAGACCCAGCCGGCACTCAAGATGCCAGCTGAAGGCGACAGGCGCCAAGGACTGTCACCAGCTCACAGGATTTAGCTCAGGGAAGCTTCTCTCCTGCCAAACCACCCTGCTCCTCGCTTCACTCCTGCTAACCCTGGGGACTTCCCACTCTCAGAGCAGCATGTCAGAATCTCTGAATCACTTTATCTGTGGAAGAAGCAGAACAGGCTGCAAGAGATAGGCAAGCAGGTTTGCAACAGCAGCACCACTCAGTACAGCAAACATCCTTTTCCTGGCATTTTGTTTTGCACCTAATTGAATCAGTCTCTGCCTGGCTAATGAAAGAGAGGAAGAAAGTGGAAAATGTTCCTTTGTTTCTCCAGCTTGCAGAGCCCACCCTCCTCGTGGAAGGGCTGCAAGCTGCCAGCGCTGCCCACTGCACATCCCATAGCCGGGAATGCACCAGGTCCTCCTTCTGCAAGATCCCCCAGGGCAGAGCTCCCCACACTTGGCCAACATCTATAGGGGTGGAAATCGCACAGCAGCTGAACTTCCCCTCTGCAAGCTTGCTCCCTTGATCTCTCCTGGCTGCATCCCACAAAAAAGATTAAAAAAAAAAAAAGAAGGAAGGAAAGCAGCGACTGTTTCCCATTGCCTCCCTTGCTCTGCCAAGGTGATCTCAGAGCACAGTCCTGTTGCAGTGAAACAGCCTCAAGCCCCCGGTTACTGTCTCTGCACCTTCTCACTTAAGACAGACCAGAGTAAGAAGCAGAGACTGTGTTACTCAGTTTACAGCTCTGCAAACATAGACTGGGATGCGAGAGTCACACCAGCTTCTCTCCTTTTCATGTAGTGACAGTCACTGCACATCAAGCTCTACCCTCAGCAACACCCACACAACCGCTATGCCTACGAGGAGTCTGTAAACCTCTCTGGCGAGGCTGCGCAGGGAGCAGAGAGCCCAGCTCCTCTCTGCAGCAGCCCTGTCTGCAGGAGAAAAGGAAGTTGCGCTCAATTTTGTCACTCAAGTCGATAAGGTACCATTTGACATTATCACAGACTTGACGAGACACCAGCAAAGCGGGAGCAGGCTGCACTGTTGTGCTCAGGAGCTGACTCAAAAGGAAGGTGGAAAGAGCTGCTGATGTTGCCGCTGGCCACCCACCCTACCCAGCAGCTGAGACACAGCTACAGAAATGAGCAGCCATGAAAGTCCATTTGCAAATGGGAAATCTGGGGTAAACGTTTGTTTCCATCCCCTGACCAGAGTTCGAGACTGGATGTCAAGGGTAAAGGTGCCAACTTCAGATGCAGAAACGGTCACATGTGTCCGACCCATGCAACAAGCAGAAAGTAAAAAGAGTAAAACACAAGCATGTAGTCTCTAAAGTCAACGCTCTATCACAGTGAACACCCCTTTCCACTCAGCTGTTAACCCTCTCTCTTACTCTCGCCCCTCATGGCCCACTGTCACTGCTGCTCCCTTCAGTATTTGCCTACTGGCTTGATCCTGCTTAAGGTCTTTGCTAGGAAACACCTGGCAGTTTGCAAAACTGACCTTAGGTAAAAGATCTCAGAGGCAAGACAGCGTGTTAGGGGCAAACCAGGCAGATGAAGGAGACCTACAACTGCTCTCCCCAACCTCCGAGCAGCCGAACACCCTCCTCTTGCACAGGCCAGAAAAGCCGTTATTAAAAAAAAAAAAAAAAAAAAGAAGGTAGGTTAGATAACGCCCTTGACGGAAATCCAACTTCCTCCAAATGGACAAGTCCCTCGTTGCATCATTTCCTTCTCCCTAGAATAACTTCATCAAGATTTTGTTTCAAATGTGTCTGTTCTAAACCGCTGAGCTGGTGCCAAGCATCCCTGCAAGAGAAGGAAGCAAACCTACTGGGAAAGGGAGCCAGCTTCCTCCGAAAGGCCAGGGAGGACAGGCTGGAAGCTGAAATGGCACCGATCCATGAGAAGAGGCCAGGATGCACCATTGTCCAAACCTTGATGAAGAAGCTCCCCTTCCCCTCCCCACCCTCTTCCACTGCAAGATTGTGAAAGAGAAGTAACATTACCACGATTAGCACAGAGGAGGAAAACAGCAGCTCGTCCTGGTTTTGTAATCAGGGTATTAACTCTTGTCAGGTCCCAAAGCAAAGACAAATCCTTCACTTATCTTCAGATGTTACCTCCACTCCCTCTTTACAGTGGAGAGCAACAGGAGACTGGAGTGCGATCTGCCCCAAAATAGGGTTAAACATCTACCAAAAGCAAGCCTTGGGGGGGGGCAGGGAAAGATGACCACCAGATCATGGGCTACAGAGCATCTCCTGTTCAGACATCTGCAAATGCCTCAGCACCTCTCCTTAAGGTCTGTGACTGGTCTGTGATGCCTCCTGCTCGGCCTTTTGGCTAGCACCCATTACCAGGAATAAACCCCCCCACTGCCGAGTGCTCAGCACCATCCCCTTGGGAAAGAGAAAAGGGATCCCATTTGCTTGAAAAAGCTATCTTTGGTTATCCCAAGAAAGGACTTTTGATCCCCAAAATGAAGCCATTCTTGTCCACCTCAACTGCGTATCAATTATGGAACACAACGATGAAAGAGTTCCGTGCCAACTGTCCGGCTGCGCCTCGCGTTGTGAGTGTCCCAGGATCCTGGTGGGGACAAGAGTACAGGAAAGGAGAACTCCAGCATCGAGATCTGCACCATCAGGAGTGGGCAACAGGCGGCAGACAACGCTTTCCTCCTTCATCTCCCCCCGCCCCGAAGCTGCCAGGAGGAGGATGGAGAAGGGAAGATGAATATTGTGGCACTTCTTAGCCACAGCTTCCAGCTGACAAACCTCTGGGGGGAACAAAAAAAGGCTCCAAGTGAGGAGGCATTAGCATTTCAGTGCGAGAGGGAAGGAAAGCCTCCAGGGATGGTGCACACGCTCTGCCCACCATCCACCTGCGCATCTCCTAACTGTTCTCCTTTGGAGGGGGCTTGCTGCAAACAAAGTTCAAGATTCAACTGAAAAAAAGCAAACCCTCACCAAGAATAATCAACACATAAACCAGAAGGAAATATAGCTGGGATCCAAAGGAGATACGCACAAGGTGCCCACCAAGTCCATTTCCTTGTAGCCCACGGTCCATGCTACAGAAGTCCCTAGAATTTGCTGTGATGATGTCCCCTAGACTGCAGGGATGATGACAGCAGGACTCCCTTCAAAGTCTGGATTGGAGAGGGAGACAGAGATGAAGCGTGGCATAAGTTCACCTTCCTGCAACCCACATTTCTGTTGGACAGAGAGCTTGTCCATCACTCTGAAGGGACAGAAAGCTGACACTGGCCCACAAAATGCATTTTGATCAGCTTCACATCCCCGAGAGCACTGTCCTTGCTTTGAAATGCAGCCCGCTTGCCTACAAGACAACTATTAGGCACCTTCTGCTCAGCTTGCTGCCCCTGCAACACAGGCAACTTTTGTTGGCCCAGCAGAAAAGTGAATGCAAACCAATTCCCAGTCCCTCCTGCCTTTCTTTCCTGCTAAATGTTAACCACCCTCATTATCAGAGGGCCAACAGGAACCCTTCCATTAGAGACCGGGATTTGCTTCATATGATGGATCCCAGTCCTGGGAAGATACCCACACTGGATGAGAAGGTGCTCTCAAGGATGAAGCTTTACGGACAAAGTAAAGAAAGACAAAGAAAGCCGTTGCACACACCGATTTTACAGGAGCCCCCCGCAGCAGGATGCTGCAGCGCAACCACAGCTCAGCATCCAGAAAAAAAACGAGCAGTTGTGTTTCCTCTGTGCATTCCCATCCCTCACCACTATTCATGGTAACGATCCACATACTTTTTCCGTGAGTGCTACTTAAGGCAACAACCACCCACAAATGTCTACCAGGAGAGAGGTATGGAGGTGAGGGGATTTTCCCCAGCCTTCACTGGCACTTGGAAAAACCATGTTCATACTAGAGTTCCCCAGTTACCAGAACTGCCTTCCGATTCACACCTGAAAGTTTTGTGGGTTCACTCCCCACCCCGGGGACAAATCACACTCAGATCATCTCACCCACCCCGGACCAAAAAAAATAGGTATTTAATAAGGCGATGACTAACCCTGAGAAATTCTCGTAGACAAACCGTCTCCAGGGATGTTTGTTACTCGAAGCGAGGTGGCCGTTTCCTCCTGAGGGCTCTGCTCTACCAGCACGGAAGGCCCCCCAAGAAAAGGGGTTCTCCAATTTCCTCCCCCATCGGCAAAGTTGAACTAAAGAGATTTGGATCTTTGCATTGAACTTTTATCAGACAAGAAAACGCCTTGCCTTTCAAAGCCTACACAGCTTCTGCCTGAGTGTACAAAGAGAGAGGCAAAGCAGCCCCGTTTTAACTCAAGAGCACAGAGCAGGAGCTGGGCAGCAAATTCCCACTTATTTCCATCCCCTTGGCAGCACTGTCAGCCTTGACGGTACAACCCAGCCAGCTGGATCCCAGATTGGAAAAGCTCCCACCCGTTTTGCTGGTTACCTCTCCACTTAAAGCTTCGTTTTTCCTACTGGTGTGAAAATGCACCTCCCACGCCATGCCCCTTCGCAGCCGGGGCAAGTCAGAGCCACACGCCTCAATGGCAGCCCCCGCCTCGTGCCCCACCGGCTGCGCAGACAGAGCCTTTGTTCTCCAGAGCTGTCACTCGAGAGCGAAGCAGCGCCTGGGAGCTAGCTCAGCGTGGCAGCTCCACGCTGAAAATGAGCACTTAAGGCACAAGGAACTTTCTCTATAACCCAGAGGTGACCAAGCTGTTTCTCACAGCAGGGAGCGAGTGTCTGCCCAGGATGGAAAGGTCTCCACCAACAGACATCACACCCACTGGGGCAAGGAGGTGAGAAGTTGGTTAGGGAATGCAGAGGAAGGTGTAGAAATGGGAGAAAGAGAACAGGAGGAGACCCAGAGACAGGTATGCTGCCAAGTAGCAGGATGCCAGAGATAAGAGAGCTGGGGAGGAGGTGGAGGACTCTTTGAGATAGGGGTGGTTACCACGAGCTGCTGAGGCGTGATGGAGTTGTCTGTGTAAATGCAGAGTTTCTCCACGGTCAGGGGCATGGTTTCTCGCAGTTTGGAAGCCAGGAGCATGCAGACCGCTCCCAGAAGCTGCAAGTGGTTTTTCCTCACGGGGACTGACGACAGGTAGCGATCCACATAATTCATGGCCAAGGGGAAGACCTCTTCTTCACACTTCTGCTCCTCACAAACCTGACAAAACCCAATTACAAAAATAAAAAATAAAAGGAAGTTTTAATCAGCACAGGACTCCCCAGATCCTGCCTGCACCACAGCTTCAAAGCTTCTGGTCATGATGGTGTTTCACACATATCTGCAGGGCTTTGAAGGCACCTCGGTGCTAGCACAT